TGTATAATTTTGGGTGATTTTGAGGTGACTGTGATATCATTTGGTAAAGTCGTAAAGAAGTCACGTCGTGTCCAGTTTTCTCAGGTAAAATTAACAGTGATCTGTTTAATTAACAGTGCTGTTGACATGGTCCTAAAGTCAGCGGGAGTTTCTCGGCTCCTCAGCAAACAGTTAGTCTTTATGGCAACATGGCAGACCTCCCCAGTGTTGGAGGAGGATGTCCCTCGGGCTGCCTGCTCACACATGCATCCTGCATGACGCAGAATTGCCATTTAAAGACGTGCTGGCCTTGTTTAGTGTTAGTGGAGTGGTTAGGTTTCCTACACAGCAGCCCTGTTTCTGATTATCCCCGGCGTTTATGGGGAAATGCATGCTCCCTGGCAGATAGGCCTGGAGTTGATTATGCAGATAATGTTTTTTCCCTTTCGTTTTTTCGTTCCTGTCGGACTTAAATTGTCTCCGAACAAGTTTAATATAATTACATCATGGTGTCACAGGGTAAGAGGTGTGTGTGTGTGTCTCTGGTGTTTGTCCAAGGGATGTTGAAATGAAAGATGAAGATGACAAACTCTTCTTCACTGAGGTTGAGGAAGTTCAGAGTTTATTGGTTCAAATGTCAGTTGTGAAGCGTTTGGATTCATTTTTTTGTTTGTTAATTCATTCTTTTCCTTCTCATCTGCAGACAATGGCCAAAGTGATTACCTCCATGCTCAAGTTTTCTCCAGATCAAGCGCAAAAGGTTTTGGATAAAGAAGACTCGAAAGCGATTGTGAGCATCTGTTTACCTCCTCAGGATACTTTGAACAAAGCTCTGTACCAAACCCAACCCGTTACCCACAACTCAACCTTTAGCATGTGTTTTGACCCTGTCACATCTGTTCTGTGGGTGTCCCCCGACCCGGTGCAAGACTCTGCTTTTAAATAACTCATTGGTTGAACTCACCTCAGCCTCCTTTGCTGGTATCAACATATATGATGAATTAATTCTTCATTGATACTTTCTTGATTGACCAAGTTCCTGTCATGTCCATCTCTCCACAGCCTTGGTTACGATGAGTGGCTAAATAATTCCTGTACTTTGAGGTGAAAATCTGCTGCTGCTGCTGAAGGGGAAGACTGCCATGGATTTGATCGAGTCCTTCTCTCTGCATTTCTTGTCATTTTATATCTGTGTGTGTGTGTGTGTGTGTGTGTGTGTGTGTGTGTGCGTGCGTGCGTGCGTGTGTGTGTGTGGGCTGCAGTATGTGTGACTATATGTAAAGGTATGAGGGAATTATGAGAGAATATACCAGAAACACAAATCTTCCATGAATCCAATTTTACTTTAGGATTAAGCTTAATTTATTTGTTTTAGATGAAGAAAAAATGAGTTTCTGTTTATTTCAGAATGTTTGAATATGGTTTGGCTTGTGCAATAAATGATATTATCATAATGTATTGATGCTGACAGTCAGTTGATTAATAGGTTTCTGTGTCGTGCTGTTGTCTGAATCACTTCCTCTGTAAAACGTTAAACGACCCTTTAACTGTGCACTCGCACCACGTTAAGATTCTGGACCTTGTTTGTCTAATGCAGCCTTTTTATGCTTTATATTCTGACACTGATATAGAAACCCCCCAAAACTCACAACTGTAAATTGTACTGTGATTATGAGAACTGTACTATAGGGCACCATATGACTTGCTATACATTTTCAGATTAACAGATTAAATCTTATTTACAGAACACCTTTTGTCACTCCTTCATCCTTCTTATCTCACTGTGTCTTGAATGTTAAATCCAAACCTTTATCTTATCTTATTTTAACATTGTTTCGTCCGGTTCCCAGAGGCTAAAGAATGATAACAGACAGTTTAAATAGACACTTGTAGAATGCAGACATCTCAACAAACATTGGTCATAAAGATCCTCTTGGTTTTGTGTTGAGCAACGGTAAACCACTACCAGCAGGTGACCTTTGTTTGACCTCTCATTTCTTCATTTGGTTTCTTACAACACTTCAGTTTTCTCATGTAAAGAACACACATACGTGTATTAGACTGTCTACACCCTCATTTGATAAGAAGCAGAATAAACTGTATTGGTCAAGAATGTTAGAAGTAAGTTTACAAGGATTTTGACTCCTTTTCTGTCTCTTTAAATACACTTAAACCTCACAGATAAGATTTTTCTTTCTCAAATGTGTAAGTTAAAATGACAAAAATCCCATAGAGTATCTTTTAAAGTGTAAATATGTCTTTACATTTTAGTAAGTTGCATATTTATCAGAAGATTATCCTCCAAACTGGTTGCAACGTCTCACACACATTCAGTCTTAAATCCAGTTTAAATAAAGTTTCCACGTTCAGCAGATGAATTTACACATCTTCACACTCTGCACATACATCGAGTGCATAAATACAGACACACTATATGCATATAAGCAAACCAGAACATGTAGCTGGTCTGTTATGAGACAGTATATACAGGTCAGACTGTTAGTTTATACTCAGACTTTGGTAGAGATACAGAGATAAAGTACTACTACATACACACAGAGGTGGTTAATGTGTACACTGTAAGGATATTGCATAGCGTAGACAGTGTGCTTTACAATGAAAGCTTGTGCACATATTATAGATTCATGACCCCCACAAGATGTGGAAGGATAAAAAACAGTGTAAGAAAAGAGGGACAGAAAAAAACTGTCTCTGCCTTACACTGTTATGCTTATTTAAATAATATATACATTTGCATTTTTTTCAAAAGAGTGTGGGATCTCACGAGCTTAAGCAGGTGAAAGTACACAATTCTGCTTTATAATACACGGAAATGGTTATTACCTATAACCTGCTGTGTTAAAGGTACAGTGTGTAGAATTTTGTGATATCTAGTGTTGAAGTTGCATGTTGCAGCTGAACACCCTTCACCTCACCCTCTCCTTCCAAACATGAAAAAGAACCTGTGGTAGCTTCAGTTATCATAAAAACTCAAAAGATGTTTAGTTGGTCCAGTCTGGACTAATGTATAAAACATGGCGACCTCTGTAGAGAGGGTCCCCTCGATGTAAATGTAAAGTATTTAAATATAAAGAGTCTTTTCTGTGGTAAAGAAAACTACGATTCATACAATTTAGATGAAACGATCTAGTGTAAACATCATGAGGATTATTCTACATTAAATGTCTGCCAATTGTTCCCTTTCACCTAAATCTTACACACTGGACCTTTTAGTAACTACTGTAACACGAATCATGAGAAGAAAGCCTCTGGTAAAATGAGTGAAATATAACCAGAAGAAAATTCTTTATAGTGATGATTAATGAAATAGAATAGTTAAGGCGAAATAAGTTAAAAGTGTTGTTGCCTTATTTACTCTGTGTGCAGAAAGCTGTTAATTTAAAAACTCAGATGTTGATGAAAAAGAGGAAGTAACAGATAACAGAAAGTAACAGTCAAAACATTGTGTGAATTGTAAAAAAACTGCTGATTAAGACGAGAGATGTTTTCAACACAAATCCGATTTTTGGTAGAAAACGAAAAGTGGCTTTGACCAAGCAGTTTCTCACTTTCTCTAAAAATGTCATCACGTTTTCTTCCTTTTTACAACATCCTGTCATTTTTCTCTTTTATATTCTTACTCTTTACTTTTTAAGTTTTTACATTAGATTTTAAATCAACGCTGTATGCTTCGCCCCTGCTAAATCAATAAAAGACAATGTGGACATTGCTTTGGTGCTGTCAGTGTGACAGTAACTGGATTACTTTGGTAACTTTTACAACTTACTGATTCTTTACAGAGTCACAGATCCTCTGGGCTTACAAAGCCACTAAACAAATTCCTAGCAACTTCCTAGTGCACATTTATTTTTACACGAGGAGAGCTGAAGTTAACAGGCATGACTGAAATCTAACTTTTCTCACATGGCTATCGAGAATTATTACTATTTCAGTGGAATCAGGGTGGACGCTTGGATGAAGGCAGTTAGAAGCTGGGCGTGTGTCCTCAACACCAGCTTAATGAAGTTTTAGTGAATCTCTTGAGAGCCTGAGACCCGGACCCTTTTAATGGAGAGCTGGTTCGGAACTCCTGCAGAGGGTACACTGGGATCTAAAACATTTTTTGTTCAGGACTTCAATGGATAAAACGTGATTGGTCACAACTGCCTGTGACAGGAGGGAGGCAAATAGTTTTTGACATCTCCCTGTGTTGACTCTATCAACCTCCTTGGTTCCTCCTGATTTAACTCTTGGGTGAGGATGAATAAATACTCTATTGAATAAAACAATAACTATTGTTCGGTTGATTCTGGGTGTAAAACGTTAGGTGGCAGCAGTGCGCCCTCGTGTCTCAGTTTTGCTCGCCCCTGAAATGTGATGCTTTGCGCCTCAAAACCATCCGCGTCTCCCCCTGACCCTCGGTACCAGCGTCATGTCCCCACAGTGAAATCACACAGTCCGGTTTGTCTCTTTCACAATAAAACCCTCGCTGCGCCCTCCTGCGTTGGAACAGCTGTCCATCTCAGCGCCTGTGCTTTTATTTTACAGTCAGATGGCTCTCGTTTTATTTCCTCTTCTCCCTGACTGTGTCCATTGACACATCTGACTGAGTTTATCTCCACGACAGGAGCCTGCGTGCTGCAACTTTCTCAGATTGACACAGAATGGAGAGAAGCTGACGCACCGTTATTTACCGGACCGTTAACTTTGCTCCTCCAGCTTTCCCTCATGCCATCACAGCCTGCATGTTGTCTCAGACCAGGGAGAAGATAGTTTTCCACAACTCTGACCACAGAAGTGTTGGCAATTCCTCCTCATTGTTTCCTTTTTCTTCTTTTTGGACACTTTAACCGCGTTTTTACGCACGATGCGCAAAGGGATGGCTCCTCTCCGGGGACAAAACACGGGAGTACTAAATGTTTTTCACGTCTGTCTCTTTATTTCAGCAGCTTATTCTTACAACATAGACTTAGAACATCCTTTAGTGTTCCGCGGACCAAATTCTAGTTTTTTTGGCTACTCGGTGCTGGAGCATTATCATGACAACACACGCTGGTGAGTTCCTGTTCCTGGAAGAGATGTTGGTTTCTAGCAATGATGATGAAAGTGAACTTTTTGAACAAATGTTTGCAGAACTTGTTCTTTCACTTTCTCCTGTGCGCAGTAAATTCTCTCTATTCAGTGGCTGCGGTGGCACAGTTTAATGTTGCATGAGATGAAAACTCCTCTGTGTCCCATCCTCTCCGCTCTCGTGTGTGCAGGGTGATAGTAGGAGCTCCGAAAGCGAACTCCACCTACAGTAGTTCCGTGCACTCTCCTGGATCCGTGTTCAAGTGTCGGGTTCACAGCAACCCGGAGCGCCGCTGCACAGAGATGGACCTGGGCAGAGGTCAGTCACCACAGCCCGCAGCATCACCACAGCAGCCACACACACACAAACACACACACACACACATGCACACAGAGACACACAACTGGAACAGTGCAGAAATTAACACTAAACCAACACAGGAAAGTTCACGATCAGGGGCTACAGTACACACACACACACACACACACACACACACACACACACATACACACACACACACATGCACACAGAGACACACAACTGGAACAGTGCAGAAATTAACACTAAACCAACACAGGAAAGTTCACGATCAGGGGCTACAGTACACACACACACACACACACACACACACACACACACACGCACATGCACACACACAACTTGAACAGTGCAGATATTAATACTTTACTCACACGGAAAAGTTCACTATCCACACACACACTCTCTATCTCTCTCGTCCACTCTGTGTATAAACTCCCCCCAGCATCTGTTTTGTTTTATAAGAATAATGCAGCCTTATGCTCCTCTCTCTCTCTCACTCTCTCTCTCTCTCTCTCTCTCTCTCTCTCTCTCCTCTTTCACAGTGTGACAGTTGTTCTTTTTTTAGTTCTCAACCTGTGTTAATGGGGACATGCGAGAGACAAGAGGGTTCTGTGTGCAGAGGTCCATAAATATTATGATAAATATGATTTATGCCCCTGCTAATATTTTCCAAGCACGTGAGCCAAAAGGTTCAGCAGCAGCACGTCCACTTTCCCCCCCAGCTCTGTTTTTGTGGTCAAAAAGCCGGGCTGCACGCATGGCTTTAATATTAACCCCGTGCTCTGTCAATGTATCACCGAGAAAGAAAGAGGCAGTGACCACATGTGCTGCCGTGACCAGTGAATCATGGGTCAGAGGAGCCGAACCTTGAAGGGTCAGAGGAAACTAATAACACTGACAGACAACCACATTTCATTGGCTGTCCAAAAACAAACAAGCATTTTTTAAGCAGGGATTCCAAACTCTAAGGTGTGAGTTTGCACCTTGTTTTTGTCCGAACGTTAGTGTAAACAGAATATTCCTGGGTTTCTCAGTGTTGTCGGGACAAAACAGGACATTTGATTTGTCTCAAGGAAATTGCAGTGAGGATTTTCCTCATTTTTACCTCCACCATGTAGCTTATGTTTCACCTTGGTTTGTTTGTTGGTTTGTTTGTTCATGAGTAAGATTACACAAACAACTACTGAACAGATTTCTACGAAACTCGGCAGAAGGATGTGATGAGGGTCAGGGAAAATTAATTACATTTTGTATCTGGATCAGGGGTCGGATCCAGGAATTTTATTTATCACTCACTTTAACATTTTGAGATTGGACACATTAAGGGAATTGATGTCTGTGACATTTGGTGCAGC